TATCGCTGTAGAGATCATAATATGAAATAAACCGAGATGAAGGGTTTGATTACGAATTCTAAGTACAGTATCGGCAAACACGTTTTCCTAGAAATTACTTTTAAGTGTACATTTTAACCATAAACTAACAAAATATATGGATAATAACAAATCTAAAAAATAGGTATGTGTTTCATTTTTGCTAATGCAGCAAGAATCCTGCAATCTGTTTGGTTAATACCCAGTTGTAAATAACACTCACCCTTGTTCGACCGGGGATAAAATTTTACCAAAATTTCAAAAAAAAAAAAAAAAAAAAAAAAAAAATGAAAGAAAAACTATATAATATATATAATTATGTATAAAAATAAATAAATAAAATTTGGGGGACAAAATTCAAAAATAAAAAAAAATTAAAAAAAAATTAAAAAAAAACAACATGTTTTCCCCTAACTTCCTGGAATGCTTCATAAGAAATAAATTCGTTATCTTGATGTAATCCGGGGTGTATGGAATTTTACACCGGTTTTGAAAATTCATACATCCTTCGGCTGCGCCTTAGGGTGTATGAAGTTTCAACACCGGTGTGAAATTCTGTACACCCCTGATTACACCAAGATAACTAATACTATCTCAAAAATCAAGAGGACAACTTACCCCTTAACCCTTTCCTCCATAATGACGCCTTTTGACGCCACCCCCTTTACTCCATAATGACGCCTTTTGACGCCTCTGTATAGTACCTCAGTTGAAACACTTTGACTACGAAATGTCTGTATCAGACTTAATAAAATTTGTATCCAATATAAAAAGGATATTCATAAAAACATCTGACTTGAATTTCATAGATGAAATATTTGTTTTCGCAATGCATTAATACTTTAAACGTGCCGATTATTTTTATAAATAGCCGTCGCCATTTTTTCGAAGTTCTTGTTGACAACCAAGTTTCAGAATACTGACATTGTCACGTTAACTACATTTATTGTTGGTTATTAATACCAACTGGTTATAAAATACCTAATAATCAATGTTTACGATACAGTTTGCGTAAAAAATTATTTTCCGTAAGAAAAACTTTATTTTGAAACTCCGAGTGTTCACTGCCGCCTTTCTCGCTTTGGAGTCATACATTATTGCAACAAAAGCATTTTTTTTTTAAACTTACGTTGAAATATCAGAAATTTAATGAACAACGCGGAGATATGCAGTCGAGTCCATACAATTCTTTTCTGACCCATTGAGTGAACAAATATAGCAACTTGTAAAATGTAAACATGTGTTTGGGGAATCCCATTATACGACTTCCGGCGAGTCATTAAGTGGGCGGGAACATACAAATTTTAATGACCACAAAAAAATCTTTCAACGTACAATCTTTCAATGTTTTTGCTTATAGAAAGTGACATTTAAGTTTCAATCATAATTATTTTAAGTTCTTCAATTAAATTAACGAGAATATCGAATTATGCAACAATATTCAGCATCCGTAAGTTGTGATTCTAAGCCCCGCCCACCAATAGAATTTACCGTTTTTACAGTGATGTTTACACAAACAAAAGATGATGAATATTTTTTCCGCGATGTTTATTTCAACAATTATGAAGGCATATGGTTCCGTGAACCGCTTTGTTTTAGAAGTAACAATTTGACTAACAAATTACAGAGCCTTAACTTTGCAGTTCACTTCCCATTTATAAAATATGTCAGACTAAAAGAACAGACATACATGCATTTTTCTCTTCACGATTTTCGCCGTATTTCGGGTTTCAGAGAATCAAAATTCGAGATAGAAGTAAAAATGTAGTTAATCATTTGATTAAAAGCTACCTTAAATTTAAGCAACCAACTGATCAGCACATCTTATTATTAATGTTTAGTAGAGGAACAACAGGGATATCAAATAATATTAGTATCCTAAACTTTGATGAAAGAACATGTCATGTTCATACATTGTATGTTGCAAATTTTTTTCAAGTTGATTTTTGAGGAACTTGTTTTCTACTTCCACTGGCTGTTAATGACTAATACTTTGTTAGTCTGGGAGAAAAAAAAAACCTATTAATAGTTATAATTAATTGGCTTTAAACTAGCTTTCAGTAACTGTGTACTCTTAGATCAATACTCACTCACTTGTTTTGTTTTTTTTAATTTTTTTTATATGTACTTCTTGCCAATCTAATGAGGCAAGTCAGCCATTAAAGAGCATGTGTTTGGATGGATGCTTAGCACTCCTATCTACATCGATTCAAGCCATTCAAAGCAGACTTTTACATTTTATTCCTGTTTTTATGCCCCTGCCGTAGTGGTGGGGGCATTAAGTTTTACCCTTGTCCGTCTGTACGTACGTACATCCCAAAATTGGTTTCCGTTCTCTAACTTGAGTTTGCCTCAACCAAATGTTATGAAACTTATACACAATTCTTATTACCACAAAACACAGATCAAGTTTGAATTTGGGTAGTGTCACTTTAACCATTATTGAGTTATGCTATACACAATATTCATTACCACAAAACTAAGATCAAGTACAAATTTTTTGTTTCCGTTTTCTAACTTTATGTTGCCTCAACCAAATGTTATGAAACTGATACACAATGCATATTACTACATGATACAGATTAAGTACGAAATTTGGTGGCGACACTTTTACCATTCTAGTGTTGTGTCCCTTTATTATCATAAAAATTGCTGAATTTTTTAGTTTGTCTCAACTAAATGTTATAAAACTTATACACAACCGTTCTAGAGTTATGCGTGTTTACAAATAGAAAAATTGCTGAATTTTAGTTTCTGTTCTCCACTTAAGTTAGCCTCAACCAAATTTTATGAGACTTACACACAATGCTTATTACCACAAAACTCAGATCAAGTTCAAATTTGGGTAGCGTCACTTTTACCGTTCTTTAGTTATGTCCCTTTATAACTATATGATATGCAAGCGGGGGCATCATCTGTGTCCACATGTGGACACTATCCACATTTATTGTCTATTTGAATCACTGCCCAAGTTTGTGTTGCACAGTCTTAAGTTTTCTATATAGTGTTTTGTATACTGTTGTTTGTCTTTTTTCTTTTTCCTCGTTTACCATTGTGTTGTCAGTTTATTTCAACTTATGCGTTTGAATGTCCCTTTTGCCTCTCTTTGGGGAGTAATGTGCGCTCATAATCATAATTAACACAACCACATTATGTATGTTTCTGTCCAAAGTCAGAAGCCTATTAGTCCGTGGTTGTTGTTGGTTGCTGTCTATCATCTTTTTGTTTACCCTTTTAGCATAAATCAGGCCATTGGTTTTCTAGTGTGGATTGCTTCACATTTTGTCATAACATGCATAACACATAAACTATGAATGGTCATTGTCTTACATCCACATCATTTGGACTGTTGAAAAGTTGTCACATTGGCAATCTTACCACATTTCCTTATTTCATTATTGTATGCAAAACAGTCTACAGAAAGATCTTTAGAAGACTAGCATTGAGAAGAGGTAAACAAATAAGGATTTATAAGGACCTCCTTCTGAATATGCATGAAATATTTGCCACTGCACGTGAAACAAACAACCAATCAATGTAATGGCTATCTATTGTAGATTTTGAAAGATATGCATATATGTATGATTCGTGTTTTACAAATGAATGGAACCTTTCCTTCATCTTTTTTCTTTCAAATCTTCTGTGTATCTAGAAGAAGGAATGATGCAAAGAAAATACCTAACCCTGGGGAAGAGGTTAGCTGAATTCTTTCAAGTTAATGTATTGTTATTTCTGGAGGGGAAGGGGTTTGCCTTTATAGGAAAAAACCTATATTGAAATAATGTTTTTATTTTTTATAAATTCAAATTGTGATGAAACGCACAGCAGGATATCAACATAGGAAAAAGTTTAATACCCTTCTAGATTTCAGGATTGATGTTACATTTTCAAGGGGACTTTACAAAGAGAAACAGGCATATGCATAATCAGCATGTTGTTAACAATGACAGTGTCAGTGTTCCATTGAACACAACTAAAACCAGATGCAAAATGGTGTACAAAAATGTAATAAAAAGAAACTATACCACATGTTATTATTTTCATATTGCCTTTTCAAACTGTGATATTTATCACTACTAGTATACAAAAAGGTCTTTGTTAAACAACTTCGCAAACATCATAGATTTTCTTTTAGAAACAAGATATCTGATAACTAATAATGCATTTTCTAATTGGTTGGCCTAAGCACCTACTTTTTAGTCTGATTCTTGGGCCTTATTTGGATGCTAGGAGCACACATATGTTAAATCTTTTTCAAGAGCAATGTTGTGATAAAAAGCTTTCATTTGTTATCATCCAAAATATCTAACTGTCAACTGATCATTTTTTACTTATTATACAGGATTTCAGTTGGTTGCTATGAACAGAAACTGTTGCTAGGGAAAAATAATGTACAATACTATTTTCCATAATATATTCCAATATATGAGTCATCTTGATTAACCTGTAAAAACCTTATTTTTAAATATTTTCACCAATTTTTTTTTTAAATTCAAATTTAAATCACAATTTTCTTTGGTTGCTACGGAAATACTTCTGTTGCTATGAGGAAAAAAATAGACAAATTTTAAAGAAAATAAAGTTTCCATTCAGATTATTTATGTACATTCAATTCTCTCATTGTTTTCTTAGAAACAAATTGATATTACAAGATTTAACCCAAAATTTAACCATTTTAATTTTATATTTGGATAAATCTGTAACCATGGCAACAATATTAAAATTTTTTTTTTAGTAAATTTTGAAGATCTGACTTAAATGTATAACTGACAAAAAATTTCAAATGTCTAACTGGTCTATTAGAGGTACAGTCAATATTTCATTAAAGTAAGCATATTTTCAGCATTCTAATGAAAAATCCTATGCAAATCAAGTATGTAAAAAAAAAATTTCCATGGAGGAAAGGGTTAAGTTGAAACATAATATCTAAATAACTTATTGTTTCTTGTCTTTGTCTTTTGGCGAAACAAATATAAACGTACCTACAATGCACCACCATTGGGGTACTCTTTTCCACTTTTATGCTTTTGACTTTTCTGTAAAAATTAACCAATTTGACGCTATCTGGAACACCATGATCAGGCCATTGAGTGAAATGGAAATGATGAACTTTTCGTTCTTGCTTATTCTAAAATTACAGAAGAATTTTTTTTTTTAGATGTACAATTTATTGAAACCTGAAACATTACATAGATTTTATCTTTTTCTTCTTACTATTTATTTGTTGATGTTTTAATCAAACACTATCAAGATCTAGACAAAATATAAACTCAACCACCATGACCACATAAAAACAATGTTTTTCACACAGTTCATATGCAAACAGCTCGTATCTTAAATCAAAGGCACCGACAGCATTTACAATATGAAATTTATTTCGATCAATATTTACATGTATATCATTCCAACAAAGCTTTATGATTTTGTAAGGCGTTCCCTTCAAACCAAACAACAACAAATCCATGTCAAATACGCTACTATTGATAAAAGTGAAGAACACGGTTCAATGTTACTGCTTAATCTGATACCTTTGAAATGTATACCTATACCATGAGCAAGGAAAATATTTGACGGTAGTAGTCCTACACATTTTGTATATTACAGTTTATTCGTACTCTAAAGATTGCCAAATAAAAAATGTGACATTTTGTTGGTCTTTAACAATCTGCATGAGAGGACTCAATAGTTATAGCATATATACTACTCTTAAAAGAGTTAATAAAGAATTCACAGTCAAAATCACGAACTAACTAATTTGCCAAAATATTTGCCCCTCTAACCTTTTTAAACTATGTGTGTGTTAACTTATCTAAGTTAAACTAGCATCTGCTTTAACCATTAGGATTAAGACTTGTCGAAATCAAGCAGATCATATATATTCTCCAAGAACACTTGATGTATCTTTTATCTTTTATTACTTGTAAAAACTCATCAAAGATGGCTTATTATTTAGGACGCCTAAAGAATTAAATTACCTTCAAGCTGTTGTTTTGTAGAATAAATAATCTGTACACATACACTGTATGTTGTATCTCCTTTTTCATAACAAGTCTATAACTATCTACTGGCATTGCTTTGTTGATGCTTTGAGGCCAGTATTGTTCACATTTTTTCTGAAATATAAAACGTTTTAAGTTAAACATTAAAAAAATGTTTTATTTAACACACGTTTTCAATATACATATTTATTTTATTTGTGGTAGATGCATTAAAGCTATAAAACCAGGTTTGAACCACCATTTTCTGAATAAGAAAATGCCTGTACCAAGTCAGGAATATGACAGTTGTTATCCATTCGTTTGATGTGTTTCAGCTTTTGATTTTGCCATTTGATTAGAACTTTCCGTTTTGAATTTTCCTCGAAGTTCGGTATTTTTGTGATTTTATTTTTCACATTTTCTTTTATACATTCACCAATCAGTAAATATCCCACCGATAATTTACGTTTGTAGGCAGATAGCAAAATATACAACTAAATTTTTTTTCATTACGTAATATACTCTATACACAGAAATAGATCTGCATAATATAACAGTTACCACAGTATAAATAAAGGCAACAGTAGTATACCGCTGTTCGAAACTCATAAATCGATAGAGATAAAAACAAATCCGGGTTACAAACTAAAACTGAGGGAAACGCATCAAATATAAGAGGAGAACAACGACACAACAAAAACACAACATTAAAATGTAAACACACAGAAACGAACTATAATATAACAATGGCCATTTCCTGACTTGGTACAGGACATTTTAAGAAAAAAAATGTTGGGTTGAACCTGGTTTTGTGGCATGCCAAACCTCCCACTTTTATTGCTACGTCAAACACAACACCAAAAACGACAACATCACATGACAGGACCACAATACAACTAAATGGGAGAACATATAGGACAAAGAAACACACGAATAATAGCTAATAAAAGGTACTAGGCTTAAAATTCAATACGCCAGACGTGCCTCTCGTCCACACAAGACCAACCAGTGACGCTCAAATAAAAAAAGTTTGAAAGCCAAAACAAGTACAAAGCTGAAGAGCACCGAGGACCAAAACTTCCAAAAAGTTGCGCCTAACACGGCCAGGTTTTTTTTGCCTGGGACAAGAACATCTTTTTTATTTAGAATAATTTATAATTTTGCAAACAGTAAATTTTATAAAATGACTATATGATAGATATACATGATAAAACCGAAGTGGGGACCAACTACAGAATAAAAACGGATACATTACATAAAACAACTTAATCCAACACATAAAAATACACAGCCGAGTTAGCCAAAGCCTCAACGCACAAAGTGACGTCACATTTGAAATTCTAAAAAAAACACACAAAGTGACGTCACATTTGAATTTGTAAAAAGATTTCCCAAAAATAAGACAGGATTAGGATTGATTTAAGATTAGATTTGTAATACTAACATTACATTTATTAATACCAATGAAAATTACAGTACTTATTAGTGTCAAATTATGGTAGTATTTAGATAATTAATTGTATTATCTAGCTATATCGGTGTTTCTTCTGAATCAAACTGTAAACCAAATATATCGTATAAATTTCGTTGAACCAAACTAAAATCTAATAAATGAAGGGGGTGATTAATTATCTTTACCATAACACACGAATATAACAGAAAAGACAATAAGACAATTGACAAAATCCGACGAGAATATCAAATATAACATCAAATTAAATACATGAATTTGGGACAGAAAAGTACCGTGATACTATCTTTTTCATGTCGTATGGTTGTTTTCACTTTGGTGTGCACATATACCCCTCTACATTTTTGCTCTAAGTATACAGATAAAAACATCTTCAAGCTGTTAAAAAACGCCGTTAAAAGAAAGAATTATCACAGGACAAAAGATATGGAAACCATAGAAACGCAAAGACTATTGTGGATACAAATATTTTTGTCAGAAGAAAAACCAATCCTTTACTCTGTGGTCTCTCAGAACCTATAAAATTGGCAGTATTGTTTACAGTCCAAATGACTTGCAAAGTGTTTTTCTGTGACATGTCTTATTGAAGTTCATTTGTGTTTGCGCAGTACATTGAGAAGATACAAGGTCTGTACAGCTAAAACATTTCATACTAGAGACATGATACATATATGACTCATTAACTTAACCAGATAAATACCCTTCTTTCCTCTTCTAATTTTGTTACCATCACTATTTTGTTAACCTTTTCTTGCCAGATCATATGCCAGAAATCTCTGATAGTATTCTTTTTCGGACCTTAGGACATAAAAAAGTATGTAAGCATTAATACCAAGTATAGGTCCTTTTTTACATCATTTATCTTTATCGACTGCCAAAAAAAAAAATTATATGGATTAATATTTGTCTTACAAGGGACGATTCTTAATAGATAAATTAATTAAAAATCGATGTATTATTTGTTAAAGGCTGTATGTTGACATTTTAATGTCTTATATATTATTGGTGTCGACAGATTACTGTTTTATGTAGTAATAACTGTACCTCATATCTTGTTTCCAAACATGATATATGTGTTTGTAAATGTTTTTTTTAAGAAAGGGTCCTTTGAAAGATATTCCTCTGACCAATTTTACAAACATTATGCGAGTGCAATGATGCATAAAAGCTTTAGAATTATGAAAATCCTGGTTGAACAGAATTGTGTTCTGACAAGTTCGCTATAAAAATTTTAACAAACCTTGTGAAGCTATGTATGCCTTTTCTTTTTCATAGCTCTGAAATTAAATAAAATTAATATAATTGATAGTATTCCCAATTGAATTACAGTTTTATTATTTTTTATTTATTGTTTTTAATATTAATGTATCAAATATACGACGCAGTGGTGATTAATTATAGTGTTGTGTCATCAAAAATGTTCTGAGACTTTTATCTAAATGAGACCAGCATTTGGTTTGCCTATCTTTAAGTTACATTTGTACCATGACGCTTTTGTGTGTTTATATCATGTATACATGAATATATGTTTGTATGACAAGTATTACTGCATTAATATGTAAAGTTTTGAAATACAATTATCACGTATAACTTACATCAATGAAACTAGCGTTAATGTAATCACTTTTGGTGTCTCCAGTCAGAACAATCCGTGAATGGTCATCTACAACAAAGTGAAATAAAAATTTGTCTAATTTTTATTTACACATTTGAAGAGAAACGACACAGAAAAAATTTCTTATTATTTGACATAATATAATTCATAACCAATTTAAGCATATTTTATCGTGTTATGTTTTTAACCTCATATAACTGGATTTGGCATGAACATAATGAAGCAATATGTACAGATGTAATAAGTTACAAATGTAGACTTGTAGTTGATCTACTAGGATTGTTTGTTAATTTGTCAGGATAAACCAATAAAAAAAACCGTTCATCCTAGACCGCCACCCCCCCTCCCACCCCCCCCCCCCCCCCCCCCAGAACAATCAATTGGTAGCTCCCTAATGGAAGCTACGCATTTCCATATAATCTGATTAAGATAAACTAGGTGAACTTATTGAATGAATAGGAAATTGTGTTTAAATTAATTTTTTGTTAAAAAAGGTCTTTCATTAGATAAAATAATATATATACAAATCATTGTTCATTGACATACATAGACATGCCATTATAAAGAGAGACAACTGATGATCTGAAATTGAACAGACGATAGAGACGTGTATCAAGTAGAAAATAAAAGACAGTCATCAACCCGGCACCTGACAATTTATAGACTTTCATCGAAAGTCAAGAAAAATACTTTTCTTAAATATTCAGAGTTTACTCATTCATCGTTTTTAATGACTCAAATTAGTAGTAGTAGAAATAACCCAAGACAATTATTTATTTCAACAAGAGCACAACAAACACCAAATTCAAAATAAAACTGTAGATCCAATGTACCAAATTAGAAAAAGGGAGTTATTGACATTAGGCTGTTAATCAATAGTTTCATTAAACCTACATGTAGCAAAGTTGTTCAGGGTAATTTAGGTGAATAATACAACAATATTCAATCCTATATTTCAATGCTACTAATACATACATGGCCATGTTGCAAGGAAACGATTTTTAATTTTGTTTTCTTCTTTAGAACCTTCCACATGTGCATGAACAAGTCCTCTTGGTAAAATCTATAAAATGTAAGATATGACCAATTAATGTTTATCTGAATAACTGTTTTATAATAGTCGGTATTAATGTGAAACAAAATATTGCAATCTTTTAACTTCAAATTATTGAAGACATGAAGGTTGTATACTGAAAAAAAATAATCCATCAAAATAACTCACATCATATTCCTTTTTGAAACCGTCATCTTTCTGTTTTTCGTTAATTACTTTCTTTAGGTCTGATACGGATATTTTGTAGTCAGCTACTGCTTGTACATTACCATATACATTTCCCTCATATTCCTCGTCGTATTCCTCTGGTATGTCTTCGCTTCCATCATAACCACTTGTTTTACTAGCATGTTTTTGAGGTAACGACACTCCAACATCCTCCAGATCTGCGTCACAACCTTTATTTATAAATTCGTTCATCGGCTGTGGTGACGGCGCATGATCTAAAAGTGATGTTAATTACAAGAAATTAGCAGCAAACCGGGTTTTCTGTAGTTTGGAGGTATTCATTGTTGAACTTAATAGGGCAACTAGTACGATTGAAATTTATGTATTCTAATGTGTAGCGCTTTTATGTTTGTTTGACCTGTCTGTGATTTTTTTTCAATCCATCCATGTTTATACATGTATGTTCTAAATGATAAACATACAAATAATCAATCTCAAACTTTACCTCCATATAGTCATGAGTATCAAATCAAAAAATGTGAAAAGCATTGACAGAACAGTTCATAAGTTATTGCGCAGAAACTACATAAAGTGTAATTTTCCAATCTATCAAGGACCAAAGTTCCTGAACAGCATACACGATGTGTAAGTAAAAATCGTCAATATCAAACGTTATCTCCATTTTGTCATCAGTAACAACATTTTCAAATTTGAAAAACATTGGTTCATAAGTTATTGCACGGAAACTGATGGCAGCCGCCCACCAAAACCCCGCTGCCGAACTTCACTAGTTTAAATAGTTTAAATGAATGTTTCATTGGGAAAAA